TATCCCTGTCAAATCCCACCTGATCTCTTACACAGCTTTTACTCGCCTTCCTCTGTTGTTAGTTGTTCCTGGGGATCCCCTCTTCCAGGTAACATATACTACCTCTCCACAGTCCATCCCTTCAGCCGTCTGCTAAGGTGAAGCTACGGACGTTTTTCAACCAAAACTAAAGGAGATATTGCATAGGTAAAGAATGGCAAGGGAACTTTTCTAGAGAAGCTAAGTACACAGTTTACAGAAAAAGAATGGAAATTTATCAAGAATAAAAATAGGTTAAGTTGGTGGGGAAATATGGCGATCATGTTAAAGGGTAAAATGCCAACTAGAGTGTCTAGACCAATTTGGAGGATAGAAAAGAACAGCGTAAAGCAGTCTATTAAGTGCTCCCTTCTGCATTATTAACCATGGGAAGAAACCAGGGAGCCCTGCATTAGCATCAAAAGTAGGTGACTTATAAGAATTAGACAATTCAGTAGTCTGTACCTTGGGAGAGGGAGAAGGGATGGCTAAAAGGATTACAATGGAGATGGCATTTGCCAGTGTTCGGGGAGGGGATATTGTTGCCACAAGTCAGCTCTAGTTCTACCCTCTTATCCTGATTATTCTAATCAGCCTGTCCCAGGATATTTGCAAGCTGATGTTAATTATGTAGTAGAACTTTCACCAGCATCACAGGTTTCTTTCATCCTAAGCTATTAGAACTGCCTCCTTTATTACAAAGTTGTCAATTACCCTAACTTGTTATATTGATATTTTAGGGCCAACTCTATTATTTTCAAATTCTGATAGTGGTTAACTTAAGAACTAACCAAGATGTGGCACTTAGAAAAAAAGTAGTTCTTTTGGAACTGCTAAAGGCTCTAGTTAGTTTCCTTTAAGTGTGTGAACTCTTAGGTTAAACACACCCATTTAACAGCAGAATAGAGAAAACCAGTCAACAGAGAAAAAGAGGAATTAAGTATACGTGCAGAGAGAGACACTGGCAAGAAATCATATAGACCTGGAGAGGGGCAAGCAGCCCAGCTCCTAACTTTCTGTTATTGATGCCAGTTGCCTCTGAGACTCAGCTGCACTTCTTGCCCTTGGATTCTTTGACTTAAAGCTATATCCCTTTTCTAACAAAACATTCTTTTTGCTTAAATTAGTTTAACTAATTTTCTATAACTTGTCACCAAATAATCCCTAAGACCAAAAAAGATGGTTAGAGGCAAAGTGTAACAATGTATATATACATAATCAGGTTTTATCATATTGAAAGATTGTTAATTTTTTTTTAATGTTGTTTTAAAGAGAAAGGGGAAGAGAGAGAACTCAATTATAGTTATTTTCTGTTGGGGTATAAACTTTCCATTCATCTTTTTATCCTCATGGTATCTAACATCCTGCCTCATACACACCACATTTAACAAATGTTTATTGAATGGACATGTAATTAAAAAATAATGAAATCCACTTGGCCAGTTTGTCTAATTGGGAGTTTTCAAAAGCATTTCAGTTCCAATTAATAAAATACGTTCTTTAAATTCTCATTAGCATAATTCTACGATTTTATATATATATATACACAAAGGAATGCTGTTTTCTATTCTCTAAATAGAATACTGAAAAACACAATCTGGATCTGATTTATTCAGATTTTGTATTAACTTGTACTATAAAGTCTGCTTAGGTTGTTCTTAAGACTATTCCCGTTCTCCTCCTTCTGGGCACGAGATAGAATTGCAGTTCTCTACCTCCTTGAAGTTGGGTTGCAGTCATATGACTTGTTTGGCCAATGAAATGGCAGTAGAAGTTACGGTGTCACTTTCATGTAGAGCCTTAAGAGCCAATGTGCAATTTATCACATCTTCTCCCCTCCCTAACAAATGTGGAAGCAGGTGTTGAGATGGAGCCTCTGACAACCTGGAGCTCTAAATGATTACTGCAACAGAGCTCTCCTGCTGACCCTAACTGAGCCTGACTGAGCAACAAACCTTTGTTGTTTTAAACCACTAAGATGTGAGGGCTTTTGTTACCACATCATTATTTATCCTACCTGATATACTCTGCAAACCCCTCTCATTGTCTTCAGAATGGTAACATTTTGTACAGCACTGCATCATTTATAGAATACTTTCTTATAGAAGTATCACTCATTATCCAAACTCTCAAAATCCAAACACAACTGGATGGAGTCAAATAAATTTTTGCACTAATCCCTCATTCTCTCAACCCCTCACTACTTGCTATCTGAAACTCAGAGACCAAATATATTGGAATAGGATGATATTCCTTGCTGTTCAAACTCTTGCCATCTACACTCAAGAACAGAAAAAATTTGGACAGTAAAGGATTCCTGATACATTATTTCATTTGTGCCCTTAAAGCTGTTTTTCTACTACCCAGTATCTACTAGACTTTCAACATCTATTGAATGAATTGTGTGCTGTCATCATTCTAATCTTACAAATAAGGAAACAGATTCAGAGAGGTTCATAAACTTACTGGAAACAACCCTGCACATTAGTGACACAATCCCAGATTTTCTGGCTCCAAACCCCTTTCCATTATGTACCATGCTTTCCAAGAAGATCTCTTACAGCTACAGAATTCTAGGATTTGATAGTAATAGTACCAACAGTGTTTAGGATAAAAAGTAAATGTTAATGACATATTTACATCCAAGAATAATAAAAGTCAACCTTTAAGGAGTTCTACTTGCCTAAACCTAGTTTAATTCAAGACCCTGAGTACCCTGAAGCACAGAACAGGAAGAAGTTCTCAAGATCATTTGGCAATTTGCAGAACAACGAGGAACTATAAAAAGAACTCCAGGGAAAAGCAGCCTTTTCCTTTGATATATAGTTTTGTTTTTTTTTTTTTTTTGCGTTATGCGGGCCTCTCACTGTTGCGGCCTCTACCGTTGCGGAGCACAGGCTCCAGACGCGCAGGCTCAGCGGCCATGGCCCACGGGCCCAGCCGCTCCGCGGCATGTGGGATCTTCCCGGACCGGGACACAAACCCGTGTCCCCTGCATCGGCAGGCGGACTCTCAACCACTGCGCCACCAGGGAAGCCCCAGATATATAGTATTTTAAAATTCTGACTTTTAAGGACTTCCCTGGAGGTCCAGTGGTCAAGACTCTGCACGTCCAACACAGGGGTCAAGGGTTTGATCCCTGGTCAGGGAACTAAGATCCCATATGCAGCACAGCCAAAAAAAAAAAAAATTCTGACTTTTAGATTATCTTCAATTTGGCTTTTAATAAACTGGCTAACCTCAAACCCTTTGCTCTCTAATTCTTATCAAACCGCAGCTGTAAGAAATATTCACAAAGAATCACCTGAAGGGGGCTTCCCTGGGGACGTAGTGGTTAAGAATCTGCCTGCCAACGCAGGTGACAGGGTTTCGAGCCCTGGTCCGGGAAGATCCCACATGCCGCGGAGCAACTAAGCCCGTGCGCCACAACTATTGAGCCTGCATTCTAGAGGTCACGAGCCACAACTACTGAGCCCATGTGCCATAACTACTGAAGCTCACACGCCTAGAGCCAGTGTTCCGCAACGAGAAGCCACCACAATGAGAAGCCCACGCACCACAACGAAGAGTAGCCCCCGCTCGCCGCAACTGGAGAACGCCCGGGCGCAGCAACGAAGACCCAACGCAGCCAAAAATAAATAAATTTTAAAAAAAAATCACCTGAAGGATAGGCAATCCACCCATTTCTACAGGTTCAGTGGTTCTCAATTTGTGTTCCACAGTCAAATAATTTTGGAAAAGGTCACACAATACATCCCCCTTTAAGACAGTAAACTTGAACATTAGCCAAGAAATTGAGAAAAAAAAAACTATTGAAATTTGTCTAACCCAGTTATCTCAAACTTATTTGAGCTCAGAATCTTATTTTAAGAAATAAACTACTAATTTCTGATGCCTAAGAACACAGTTCGGGAAATACTGTTCTAGGTAATTCTAAACGTTATGAATGGATAAAGTTAAGCCTTCAGAGAACTCACCTTTAGAGTCTTACCATTGTCCTATACTGAAGAACACTGTTAACCAAAATTCATCAGTTTCTGTAGGGATATTTTAAAGCTGTTGTCAACTGCATCACAACAATCTTCCTTTTTATTAGGGCCCATGAGAAAATGTTCCTCTCAGGCCTCATTACTAGAAAATGTCGTGCTTATGCAGGAGAACTGGTTTGTTTTTATCTTGGAATTAGAAACACACTGAAACTTATTTTATTCCACTCTCTCTCTTTTTTCTGCCTGGCTGCTAGGGAAGCCCAGAGCCAAAACTGTCACTCACCTCTAGTACAGGATCTTATGCACTTGGTATTATCTTACCCTTGACTTTGTAGTCATATTTTCCCCTGCTCTGCCTCAATTTTTCTCATTTAGTTTTGTTTTACCCTACAATACCATATGGACACTAAGTTGCTTCAAATCATTTTTGAATCTATTGTATATACTAAGTCCTATTTTCTTACAATTTCATATTGATATCTCCCTACCTGTCCCATTACCCCAAAATATCAGTGTCACCTTTGTGTAAAAGTATCCACATAGTTATGACAAGCCAATAGAACATACACATTCACAATATAATCAAACTCGCAACGCTTAAACCAGAAGAAAAGTTACTACTGGTTTTTCAGCGGTCTAATACCAAAAAGACTTATTAAACTCTTTTGGAAACGTAAGGACAACTACCATTTATTGGGTACCAGTAACTGCTAGGCACTTAACACACAACAGTTTCACTTTATTGTTTTAAAGAAGAACATTGGCATTATACGTGATCCCTGGAAAGATGCACAAGAAACTGGTCATATTGGTGGGTGGGGCGAGAGACTTTGTGTATCTCTTTTGTACCGTTTGAATTTTAGGAATCTATTACTCAAAAAAAATTTTTTAAAAAACGGAATGATAATAAAGACGGCAGAAGTGCTTTACTCTTTGATTCAATAAACTTTCTTCGTCAGCTTTTGATCCCTGCGTATGCACTGAAACGCCTAAATGAAAAAGTTTCAACCAGACACGCCGGTTTTTATTGAAATCAAGTCTCTTTCTGATTCTCCACACTCCGGGGCTGAGGCAATTATATACTTAAAAACTTAGATTATGATCGCCTGCGGGTAACAATGAAAAAAAAATTCGATATGGTTTCCACTTTGTTTTACTGGTAGATGAGGACGGGGAGGAAGCACTGATTCTGGACAGCAGCCCACGCCGCAGCAGGCCTGCCACAAACGCCGCGTCCAGAACTTTGCACAACTCGAGGGCAGCCCAGACGCCACTCAGGACTCTCGGCTGCGCGGCGGGAGACCCGGCCGGGGTTCGAGCCCCGGGCGCGGCTCGGGGAAGTCCCCGCCTAGCCCACCCCTCCGGACCGATACGCCCCGGGGCCGCCTCCCCGAGGGCCCGTCCGGAGTCGGGCAGCCGCGGCCGGGCGGGAAGCTCGCGCGGAGAGGGGAGCGGGCCTCGGCGCGCGGTCGGCCCTCTGCGGCCCCATCCCCGACGCCGAGGAGAAAGTCGCACTTACCGCGTCGGGCTCTGGAGGCGCCCGGTGGTCACGGCGGGGACGGCGGGGAACGGGGGCCGGCGGGCCGAGGAGAGGGATGCTCGGCCCCTCGGGCGCCCCCAGCCCCTTCCCGGCAGCCTCACCCCCGGCGCCGGCCGGCCCGGAGCCAGCCACTCCGCCTCCGTCAGGCCGCACCAGGCCAGTGGGGACAGAAATTAGTCAGGCAGCCCCGAAGGGGGGCGAGCGAGCCGGCGGGTGGGGGTCGGGGGTCGGCTCGCCAGTCAGTCCGGGCGCGGCGCGAGCGGCTGCCCGCCCGCCCCGCCCCCTCCAGCAAGGCTCCGCCCCCTCCACCCAGGCTCCGCCCCCTCCTCGCTAGCCCGCCTGCCCCGGGAGACCGCCGCCGCCACCCGGTTGGCGGTTTCCCTTGCCCCGGGAGTGGTGCCCGCCGACGGCCTGGGCCCGGGGAGGGAGAGGAGAAGGGGGAGGGGCGGGGAGTAGACGGGAGGCAAGGCCGCAGGCTGCGGGGAGGGGAGCTTTTGGGGGAGGAGAACGTCAGGCTGGGTGGGGCTCTGGGGGGAGGGGGCGGGGCGCGGAGGACCTGACAAAGATTCCGGTTGTTCCCCGCCCCTTGAAACTGGGATAAGGGGGAATTCCTGGGGGTGGAAGTTTAGGAAGAGGTCCCTCTGCAGGGCTGGAAGCCGATCAGAGAGCTGGCCTGTGTTTTTTTGATTCCTTGGAGAACAGGACTGTATTGTACTAGAGCTTTGGGGGAACTCACCAAGAGTTGCCTCTCTTCTCCAGCCCCTGCAACCCTTCCCCTTGCAACACTCGGATAATTACTGTGCTCCACGTAGTGGGTTTGTGGGTATTGTGACATAGCAATTATTATCCTCAACTCTGTGGCCATAATCATTGGTTTCCAATGGTGGGATAATAAGAATTCCGCAAAAGTTGGTTCCTTATTTATTTCTCTAACGAGCTATATTCTTTATTTCTCTAGTATGTTAATGTATATATATGATAGATGCTGAGAATGTCAGTGACTAGTTTATTCAGCGCCTATATGGCAAACACAAATCTAAAGCGCTTTATATATGTTAACTCAATCAGTCTTAAGCAAAACAGTTAAGGTCCTTCCCCCACAGAGCTCACGGTGGATAAGGGAGGGAAGGGGTTTCCTTAGTTTGTCTCAGACTGATGTGTAAAGGAAATGTCCACCTGCTTTTTGATCTCAATGTAATGCATATGTTCATTATTTGCAGTCAGTGTACTCTGAGCCATCTCTATCTATCCTATCGGTGAGGGCTGCATGTGGTCAGTCGTCCCAAAATGGCTTACTAAGGAGGTCTTCAGTACGTGTCCATAATGAAAACCCAATGGAAGCAAATGGTCCAGAAGACTGATGGGTCAAGTCATCAGCAAAACAGCATAGCCAAATTGTGGCAACAGCCTGGGGTGCCTGGGAGATCTATTTAGGGATCTATTTTGTACACTCCCTCTTGGGGAAGTGGCTAGAAAAAGCAACATAATGTAAAACAATGAAGCATTGATATGCTAGTTCAAAGTGGATGACCTGATTTTAAACTGTCAAAATCAGGAAGAGATACTTCACAAAATCTACCACTGAGGGCTCCAACGGCAAAGCTCAGGATACATTTTTTATCAGAGCCACCTGGAAGAGACTCCCCACTCCCTCTTTGCAACCTCACCTACCATGCATAGATAAAAATTACTTCAATAGCATTGTCTTTAAGTACACAAGACAACTGTGTAAACCCACAGCCTGAATTTATAGAATTTGGTACTAATTTTAAGCTCTCATTTGATTTTTCAGTGTTAACATTTGTGCACATTGACAGCAAATGACATTCTTCTCATAGTTTTGTTTCCTCTCATAGTTATTTGTTCAGTTTTGGAAATTTAATTCAGTCTTTTTCATTTGGGTTTATAGTGAGAAAGGCTAAAAACGCATTACAATCAAATCAGATTACAATTGCAGTAAAAAAGAAATAGGAATTCCCTCTCTCTCTCTTTTTTTTTTCCCCCATACTAAGTATATTGTTTGTTTGGTCCTGAAACCTATTCTCTTTGACTTACTAATCTGTTTTCAGTTTATTTGCTCCTCCACCCCAGTGAAAGCAAATCAAATAAAACATCCCTTGTGATCTGGCATCCTGCTGTTGGTCTCAGCTCGCACCATGCTTGCTCTCAGGCTGTTCCACACAGTGGACTCCTTTCACTCCTGCCAACAAACCAAGAATTTGCCAGTGAAGCCTTTGCATGTCTGTCTGTTTGGAAGGCTCTTAGCCATACACATGACTGTCTCCCTTTTTTTCTCATGTCACCTTTCCTGACTATGTATGTAAACCTGCAAACCGCCACCCCACCCCATCTCCTTTTTCTCAACACTTAGCACCACCTGACATATATTTGTTTCTCTACTCCCACGAGAATGTAAGCTCCATGAGAGCAGAATCCTGTCTGTTTAGTTCACTGTTCCATATCCAGTGTCTTATTACTTACTGTTGTCTGTCACATAGTAGATACTCAGCAAATATGTATACATACATATACATATATGTTTTAAATGAATGAATGACTTCACATAGCTTGTATCCCTTTTTGTAACGGCCAAAGGGCTTTCATGAAATTTATCTTATAACTGAGTCATATGACTTAGACATATTTATAAGGTCTAAAATACAGCCTGGTTTTACCCTATTTAAAATTAGAATTTGAAAATGGCAGGTTTTCATCTCTTATTCTGGCAATACACTAAGAAACAGGAATTGAAGAAGTATTCCCAGCTAAGAATTTATGCTGAGATCTTACAACCTGGCCCAAAATGGATCCATAGAATCAGAGAATAATGATAGATCAATAAATGTTGTCAAAGTCTTAATATTTTTCCCTGAGATGAAACAATATAGCAGTAATCAGAAGCGGAATAATTAAACCTAAAATGTGATTACTCTGATAACTTGATAAATGGTGCCAATACAATGTCCTTTGTGAGTCCTCAGATGATTTTAGTTGGTAATAATCATGATAATGAGGTTAACAATTAATGTTTTAATCTGGTTAAAATGTAGCACTGATAGATAGCAAACAGAACTTAATCCTAGTGTATAGATGCCCTTAGTAAAGAGGTGTTTTGACTTTTCATTTTCTGCTCTGATTACCAGTTGTGTGAGTGGGGATAATTAAAGGCTTAAATATCATTATATACAGTATGTTCAAAATCCCAGGAATGGGATCTTTTTTAGAGACTTTAGGATTACTTTTAACAGTATTGCTGCTATCCATGTTTTGACATGAAACAGTTTCCTATGACAATACAGAGCTTTAAAAGGTCTAAGCAGATCATACCCCTGGAAGGAGAATCTCCAGGTTGGGAGAGATAGATGGCCAAGAAACCCAACCCAAAATGTGTCCCCTTGAAGTTCACTTCAGATTCTCACTCTGGTTTCTCTTGGTTCCCCAGGGTAATTTCATTTCCCTTTTTAACTTGGTTCAAATACCAAATTAAATTAAATTAAATTAAAGGTTTCCTTGGCTTTCTTTACCACAGCCAAGCCAATCTAGAATTTTCAAAATGAACTTTACTAAATTCTAAAGGAAAATAAAAATGAAATTATTATGGAAAATATAAGCAACACCCATAACTCCATTCATTTGTTCAGCTGCTCTTCTCCAGTTTCCATTCTTCCAGGATCAAATTTCCATCCCCAAAGGGCAGGTATAAATTTGCAGGCAATCTACCTAGTTTCCTTCCCTCTTGACTTCCTTTCTTTCTCCACATGGTAGGGTCATTTTTTCTGTCTTTCACATGAGAGCCATCAGGTTTGTCCCAATCACAACTATTGGACTTGTACAATGCTTGTACAATGCTTACTTGTTCAATGCTTACTTCTGGTCAGAGGGCTATGGTATAGTCCCAGTCCAATGCCAGGACTTTGGGGACTGTCACAATGTGAGAGTTCCTTCTTCAGGTGAGACTCTCTTTATGGAGGAAAGGTCATTATAAGCCCACTGTCAGGTTACTCCTTTCTGTCCCCAGAGCATTCACATAAGAATTACTCTACAATAGAAAGACTCACAATTATGTCTAAAATAAGTTCTGTTCACAATAACAGGTGACCTAGATCTTAGGAATTAGAACATTTAAGGACTCCCCTCTTGGGACAGGGGTCTGGCAGTGCTGGGCAGCAGAGACAACAAAGTCAGGCACTGACTGCCTGAGGGTTTCTTGCTGGAGGGCACCCCAGTTCTAAGAAGGGAACACCAGGGGCAAGAGCAGCCCTATGGTGAGAGATGCTCAGCAACAGACACACAGTGGCCTTCAAAGCACAAATCCATGGTCATAATTCAGCAGAGGTGGCAAACTTGGCACCTGTCTGAGTCATGAGGGGCTCCTAGGAGACACCACTGGCAGTGCCTATCAGGAAACAGACTGACAGAGGGATAAGAAATGACTTGTCTAAAGCTGCCCAGCAAGTCAGCAGCAGAACCAGGATGTGCCCAACAGGTCTGTCCTCCCACAGTCCAGGACATACCACCATATCACAGATGGCTGTATCAGACCTGGTCCTGAGCAGAGATCTGGCATCTCCGCCGACACACGGTCTGCTCAGCAACCCCCTTCCCATGGGAACACTGTGGCCTCTGGCAGGCAGGGTAGTAGTCCTCAGGCTCAGGGGCTGTGAGTCAGAGGGCACTGGGCCTCGTGGGGGGGCCCTGCAGCCCTGCCTGAAGCTTGTAACCATTCAGCAGGGCCCTACTAGGCTCAGGTTCATGCTCTGTGGTTAATGATCATGGTGGACGGGTACCAGCCCCAGCTCCCAGGGGATTGCCACGGTGGTCGCCAAAATGGCATAACTGAGATAAGGTGAAAGAGTAACAAATAAAGCCAACTTTTTACCAAAAATTAAGAAAAGTAAACAACAACCACAAAAACACCCAAGCCTCCCCACCCCCCAAACCTGCTGGGGACATTGGGAAACAATGTGCATTCACTCATGCACATATTTCCATCCACTCATTCGTAAGTAGGCCTTTTATAATCAGGCTGTGTTCTAACCAGAAAAAAAGGTTTTTGTAAAACAAATTTAAACACTTCCTGCCAGTCTCCCTAACCTTGCTAAAACACAAACCTAATTCTGTTCATCCCCCAGGACCCTGCTTAGCAAGCTTTAGTGACTCCATTTCCTTCAGGGTAAAGTTCAAACATCTTAGCATGGTTGTAAGATCCTTTATAACCTTACCCCTTTATTACCTCTCCAGGCCTGTGCCCATTCTGAATGATTTGCAGTGTCCAGAATGTATCATTTCTTCTATAATTATACTTTTAAATATGTTTCCTCCATCTGGAATGTCCTGCCTTTCCAATCTCTGCTTGCGTGAGTTCCTTGAGACTCAACTCAAGGGGCATCTCATCTGGCAATCTTTATCCTGAATCTTCCAGGCTGACCTTGTTCCTTCTCTGTGTTCCCATAATATCCTGCATACTCCTCTATTGTCACAGGTACTTAATGGGCTATGAACATTGGTTTACTTGTCTGCCTCCCTGACAAGCTGAGAAGTCTATGATGTCAGACACTCA